AAGGTCCCCGTGGGTGTGTCCGCATACGTTCCGCACATTCATTTTGGCACACCCCTCACACGTTTCGTGGCCCCATAAAGAGCTTAACCGAAGGCCTCAGTGCTGCCGCCCGCATGCGTCCCGCACACCCATTTCGGCACACCCCTTACGCGTTTCGTGGCCCCATAGGGAGCTCCGCCGAAGGTCCCAGTGGGTGTGCTCGCACGCGTCCCGCACACCAATTTCGGCATACCCTTCACACGTTTCGTGGCCCCATAGGGAGCTCCACCACAAGGTCCTGGTGGGTGTGCCCGCATGCGTCCCGCACACCCATGTCGGCACACCCTTCACGCGTTTCGTGACTCCTCACACGTTTCGTGGCCCCATAGGGAGCTCCACCGAAGGCCGCACTGGGTGTGCCCGCATGCGTACCGCACACCCAAATTCGGCACACCCTCGCACGTTTCGTGGCCCCGTAAGGGGCTCCACCGAAGGTCCCAGTGCTGCCGCCCGCATGCGTCCCGCACACCCATTTCGGCATACCCTTCACACGTTTCGTGGCCCCATAGGGAGCTCCGCCACAAGGCCCCAGTGGGTGTGCCCGCATGCGTCCCGCACACCCATTTCGGCACACACTTCACGCGTTTTGTGACCCCTCACACGTTTCGTGGTCCCATAGGGAGCTCCACCGAAGGCCCCAGTGCTGCCGCCCGCATGCGTCCCGCACATCCATTTCGGCACACCCCTCGCACGTTTCGTGGCCCCGTAGGGGGCTCCACCGAACGCCGCAGTGCTGCCGCCCGCATGCGTCCCGCACACCCATTTCGGCACACCCCTCGCACATTTCGTGGCCCGTAGGGGGCTCCACCGAAGGTCCCGGTGGGTGTGCCCGCATGCGTCCCGCACACCCATTTCGGCACACCCCTCACACGTTTCGCGGCCCCATAGGGAGCGCCACCGAAAAAGATATTCACAATTGCGGTAGTCACAATTGAATATGGTTGGGTCCTTCGCCAGGATAATTTGTGGGGGGCTCCATGACACGACTGCTGGCCCCGTGGGGGGGCTGGGCTAGGCGCGCGAGGCCGTCCCGTCGGAGGCCTCGATGTCCGGGGACACGCGGCCGGAGGCCGTCGGCGGCCTTCGGGGGCATTCGCCGGCCCCCTGGCCGTCGCCGTCGGTGTTGTCGCCGGCGCCGTCGGCGGCTTTGGCGCCGCCGTCGCCGTCGTCGCCGTCGCAAGCGCAGAGGGCGAGGATGGGGGGACGATGGAGAAAACACGTTCGGCGCCAGCTGCAGCTGCCCCCTGCCCCTCCCTCCTCCTCCTTCCACCTCCCTCCTCATCCTCTTCTTGTTATTCCTCCTTCCTCTTCCTCCTCCTCTTCCTACTCCTTCTCCTTTTCCTCCTCCTCCTCCTCCTCCTCCTACTCGTTTTCCCTCTCCCCCTCCTCCTCGTTGGCACGCGGCCCCAGCGCCCGCCTCGCTTTGCGGTGGGCGCCCACTGGGGCTAGGCGCGCGAACGAAGTCCACAGCGCGTCGCAGGGAACCTGCTCACGGAAGTAAAGGGGGCATCTGCGCGTCAGACGGGGCGGAACGCAGGGGGGGCAATCATTTTGTTTCGCCCATCGGCGCGGCTTTGCATGGGCGGCGCACCGAAATGCGCGAAAGGGCCCCTGATTTTTTCCCAGAATATAGAATGCGAACAACGAAAGCGACAGCATTGCACGTCTGAGATGACGCCGTTGCTTAGGAGGAGGAGGAGGAGGAGGAGGAGGAGGAGGAGGAGGAGGAAAAGGAGGAGGAGGAGGACGAGGAGCAGGACGAGGAGGAGGAGGAGGAGACGGAGGAGGGAGGGAGGGACGGGAAGATGGAGGGGACGAGCGCGCGGAGGAGGAGCGCGCGCCACCCAGCCACCCCCTCAGGCGCGCACGCGCCCGCCAAAGGCAAGGAGCGGGAAGGAGAGGGAGAAAAGAGGGAACATATCCACAAGACGATGCACATGAGCGCTGGCCGCCTGAACTGGGCGAGGGGGAAAGGGGAAAACAGGAAAAAGATGATGGGGGGGCCGCGAGCTTAGCCTAGGCTGGCGGCTCTGCGGTGTCGGAGGGCCAGCTGCGTTTGGACGACGCAGCTGACCACCGTATAATCGCGGATGAGCTCCGCGTTCTGCTGGTCGTCGGGTCTGCGGAGCAGCCGCTGGCGGGCCTCGCCCCGAGGCGGCCGGGCGCTTCTTCCACGAAGAGTGCAGCCGCAAGGGTGGCGCGCGTGCTTCTCGCGCTCGGCTGCGCGCGCTGTCTCGCCAGGCCCGCGGGCGGCCGGGCCCCCGAAGTGTTCCGCCGCCGGGTGCCGCGCGGTCACATCGAGCTAATGCCGCCCCGCTCCCTCGAAGTGTTCGATATCGAGGATAGCGCGCTCCTGGAAGTCGGCGCCCGGCGGGTCCGCTGGCCGCCCCTCGCGCTGGCGGCCCCAAATGGGAACCGTTTGTTCCTGCAAAGGGTCGTGGTGGAGCCACCGCTTCACGAGGCCTGGCACGGAATTATTACGCCTCCCGTGGCGTGCCATCACTCCGCCCCCCTCGGTGCAGATGGCGGCGTGGGTGCCCCTGTCGTCCAGCGGGGCCGAACAGGCAGCCGCGGCCGCGCCAGACCCGCGGGCTCGGTTCTGGCACGCGGCAGCGGCCACGGCCAGCTGCGCCCGCGAGCAATCAGGCCTGCTCACCAACGCCCGCGTTCCTAATGCTGACGACCAACGCTCGTCTCCTATGGCGCACGCCGGGTCGCCTGGGCACAGCAGGAACGCCGCCGCGCCGGGCCCCCCAGCACCCAGCGGCAGAGCTCTCTCGTGAACCTGCAAGAACTGCCACATGGCCGCGCGGGTGTTTTTCTGCACGTGTTTCATAAACTTGCTATGCTTAAGAGGGTTCAGAAGAGCTTCCAGGAGTGAGGCTCCGGGGGCTGGGACGGCTCCGCGGTTCCGTAGCTCTGCGCGCGCCCTGGCGAGCGTCTGCTCCAGGTCAGGCACCACCTCGAGCAACTCGCCCGCGGTCGCCCGTACGTCCCTCGCGACCCACTCCAAGGCGAAGGCCCAACCGGCCCAGAAAGCGGCAGCTAAGCGGACGGACGCCCACTGCACCCCGACCCCGCCCTCCTTGCGCGGGAGGCCGAGGACTTCCCGGTTCCAAGGGCCAGGGTCCCTGCCTGCCAAGTCTTGCCAGCAGCTGGCCATCGCGTTGTCGTAACGCTGCGTCTCTGGGTCCGTGGCCAACATGGCCCGCCGGGCGTGCTGGCTGGTGGCGCCGGCGTAGGTGCTGAACAGCCTCCCGGCTGCCTCCTCCTCTTCCTCCTCCCCTCCTCTTCCGCCTCCTCCTTATCCTCCTCTTCCTCTTCTTTTTCTTCTTCCTCCTCCTCCTCCTCGTCCTCCTCCTCCTCCTCCTCCTCCTCCTCCTCCTCCTCCTCACAATAGGGAAGCTTCGAGGATCCACGGGAATCCTCGAAACTGCGCCGTAGGTGGGGGAAGGGGCGATCACGAAACCTGCTTCAAAGCGACGCCGGAAAAAAACGGCGGGGGGGGAAGCGATTCAAACAAGTCTTCGGCGCGCTATCACGGCGCGAACTCAAGGACGTAACGGGGGAGGGGGCGATTCTAAAAAAGATTCGGGTCCCTGCATCGGATTAGTCCTAGCCAGTCCTAGCCTCACAAGTGAATTAAGACTCCATGGGAGGAAACGAAAGTGTTTATATAATCGCTCACCGACAACAGGCGATGTGTTCGGGCCCGTCGTCCGACGCCGTCCGTAAATCATCGCCATGTGGAGTCCCGAAGATGACCCGCACCGTCCCGAAGAGGCGCACAGCCGCGGAGATAACCCACACTGGCCCGAAGAGGAACATCGCATGAATGATCGGCACCGTCATCACAATGGACAACACTTCCACGAGGATGATCCTCACCGTCCCGAAAAAAGGAGCATCACCGTCACGTAGATGTCCAGCCCCGTCTACAAGATGAGAGTCACGTAAGTGACCAAGGCGGCCCCGAAGGTGGCCAACGACGCCGCGTATCTGTTGAACACCGTCGCAAAACGCGGCGTCGTCCTGAAGATGAGCAGCGTCGTCACAATGATGATAAGCACCGTTTCTGCCCAGATGATCTACACCACCTGCACAACAGCCTGACGCAAATGATGCATCTCCTCCATCATTTCCTAGCTCAGGGGGCCGGTTTCGCCAAGATCTTGTACATGAGCGGTCTCTCGACGTTGACCGATGACATAGCGGCAGCGCGCGCTGACAGCGGGCGCTCCCTTTTGCACGACTGCAACGCGATCGGCGCCTCAAAATCGGTCTGGTGCCTCCTCCGTTAGCACGGTTTTACATGCGTGCTCCAAACGCCCGCAGCGACGGGCGGATGGGAGATAACATGACGCGGGCTGACAAAAAATAGTAAGGACTTCCCCCGCGTCGGGCACGGGGGCAGCTACGCCTCCGCGCGCCAGACTTCAGCCGCCGCGCCCGGGAGCGCCAACCCCAAACACATTTCACAGCGCTCAACTTCCGCGCAGTGCCTACTCCCGCCGCAGAGGCGAAGGCCCGGTTGCTCGACGCTCGACGGACCCTCACTTTATTCGACAAGCCCGCGGGGCACCCCAGCGTTGATTGTCAAAACGCACAGGTGTCGCCGCGGTTTCTTGTCCTACTTTGTCAGAATCGTGCGACCATGAAAACTTGCCAACGTCGTCCTTCTGCTTCTAACCCTCGTCCTCCCACTCTTCAGGTTCGTCCTTCAACGTTTCTTCGGGTCATCCGTTACACGAGCTCCTGTTGCCACCGTTGGCGCAGACAGCTTCATGGTACCTGCCAGTGCCACTCGAAGTCCAGTCGCCACCACTGGCACTGCCAGTGTCGTTGCAATATTGTACCATTCATCATTTTAGTATTCTCGATGTCTGCTCTTGTCATTGCCCCAGCGGTCGCCGGACTTGTGGGCGTCGCATCCTCCTTTGCCCCCATCCAGGCTCATGTCACGCCCCTGCCACTTCAGGCTGGGCCCCCTTGCTTCCAACAGAAACGTCGTCTGTCCGGCCGCTTTCGCGGTCTCTTTCCGTACCCGACTCAGCTGGAGGAAGCATGGGCAGAGAGGGTTTACGAGCCGCGGACGTGGCGGCAGCGTGCTTGGTAGGCGATCGATTAGCCATTTCTGGAGAGCTCCTTACCACCAAGACGGCCATTGCGGTCAACCACACGCCACGCTCATTCAGAGCTCGATCCATTTTCTCTCCTGCATCCACTGACGAGCCAATGTCGCCGAGGAAACCATACTTGCAGAATATTTCAAGGAGCCCATTACATCATTCCCGGAAAAACGGATCGATCCTTCAAGGAATCAGCCCTTTTTAGCAGCATGAAAAAACGCCGACCTTCGGAGGCAACGCCTGTGAAATCTTCACAACAACTATAGAAAACCATCAAACCCGATGACGGAAAAATTGACCCGGATTAGCCCAGATTCTGCCCACTATTCCCCCCTTTAAGCCGGATTAGGCCGGGTTCAGCAGAATCCAACGCGATGCTGCGGGATGAGGCCTGTTTCCGACCACGGATACACCAGCGCCGATGCTGAAAGAACCTCCTGGGAGTTGCATCCGCGCAAATCGACGACAACGTCAGGAAACCTGTAGAACCTCCTGCGTGTGGGCGGCTCCCCCGCCCCGCGGGGGTCCCCGGCCAGCTGCATCGGGCCGTGCACGGCGGCGACCACCTTCGTGCGCCCCTGGTCCGAGGCCAGAACTCTACACGTATCCCACGCCTACAGGGAGCCGATGCCTCAGTAAGGGGCAGCGGGAGGGGGGACCAGCTCAGGGGGGAAACGAGCCTGACTCGGCGATACATCGCCGACAGGTCGGCGATAGGCCACGACAGCAAAGCCGCACGCCCCTGGGCGGGGTGGGCTGTCAGGCCCCCATCGGCCATAGATGGGCAATCGGGGGCCGAAGCCATCCCCTCTGGAGCCTTTCCTCCCCGGACGTTGCCCCTGACTTCGGACCCCAGGCGGCGGTAGATATGGACTGGAACAACAAAGCGCTGCACAAACATGTTTGGGTTCTAGCACATTCTGAGTGTCGTCTACTCTGTGTCCCTCAATAGTTTTGGGGGTACCTGTAGTCCGGGGGGGTACCTATAGTCCGGGGGGGGGTACTTGTAGTCCGGAGGGGGGGTACCTGTAGTCCGGGGGGGGGGTATAGGGGTACCTGTAGTCCGGAGGGGGGTACCTGTAGTCCGGGGGGGCGCGCATGGGGGTACTTGTAGTCCGGGGGGGGGGGCATATGGTCATGCCTCAAAGCACGCGTGGTTCCACGCACGCGGGTGTTTAGTACTTACGCGCGCGGGACCTCACGCGCAGACTCACACGCACGCGCGCACGCGCGCACGCAACCGCACGGAACCGCACACACACACACACACACACACACGCACACGCAAGCACACACGCACGCACACGCGCGCACGCACAGACACTCTGCATCATGACAATGACAACTTTCCAGATATTGCATGATTGCGCTGTCTGCTTAGGTCACCGCCAACGATGGCGAATTTCTTAGCACGCCTAAGTGAACATGTGCGGACGCATCTTGGCGGGCCGCTTTGGCTTCCAGAGACTACGTAGCGAACGCGGGGGGGCTTGTAGCTCCGGGGGCTAGGGGGGTACCTATAGTCCGGGGGGGGGTACCTGTAGTCCAGGGGGGGTACTTGTAGTCCGGGGGGGGGTACCTGTAGTCCGGGGGGGGGGTACTTGTAGTCCGGGGGAGGGGTACTTATAGTCCGGGGGGTACCTGTAGTCCGGGGCCCCAAAACTATTGAGGGACACAGAGGAAAGTGTTCGGCGACAGAAGACACTTTTTTACCTGCACGGAGGAGCCCAGTGGCACGACGAACGACGGACGAAACGACAGACGACAGACGAAAACGATAGGAGGGCGCGCGAAGGGAGGGAGGGAGAGGGGGAGGGAGGGAAGGGCGACAAGAGACACATAGTGTCACACGGATCGTGCACCTCAAGGAGCTCCACCGACAACCCCAGATACGTGCTTGGCTTAGCGTCCCCCCGCCCATGCCTGGGCATCTCCACCTACGTCCCCAGAGACACGGTTCGCATAGTGGTACGGCCCTCACGCGGATCGCGCCCAGCAAGAAGCTGCATGTGCGGCACCACAGGGAAACTTCATAGCGTCGCCTGGCTTACTTCGGCAGACCTCTCACACGGATCGTGGCCCGCAGAGAGTTCATCGAACGGTCCCAGAGGCAAGATTCGCATGCTGCCCCCCCCCCGCCTACTTAACTTCGGCACACCACTCGCACGGATTATTGTGGTCCACAGGGATCTCCATCTATGGTCACAGAGGCATGGTTCGCATTGCACCTCCCCGCTCATGGCGGCACACCCCATCACGCGGATCGTGCACACGAGGAACACAAGCTAAACACCGTCCACGTCGGAAGGAGCTCCACCAATGGCACCAATAGGCAGCTTCACATGGCGCCCCCCCGCTCATTTCGGAAGTGGCACGGGTCGTCCCCGGAGGAAGTCCACCGTCGGCCTCAGTGGGCGTGTTCGCGCGGGAGAATCCGAATCATTCAGCACAACCTTCACGCGGATCGTGCCCTATGAAGAAAAATTCAGCTTACCCGTGCACGCGTGCTTGACAACAACCCGCTTTCCGCATCGCCTCGCGGCGCGCAATGCAATGCAATGCGTGGTTCCGGCGCAAAACCAATTGATTGCGTGTCTATGGCCTTCAGCCCATACCGCTGCTGTGCTTAAGTTTAGCGCCAGATCAATCTTGGATACCTGTACTTCGGGAACTGTTGGCATGCATCTCGGGCTCCTCGTGGAGCGACTTTTAAAGCTTCTTGGGGCCTCTTGGGACCGTCTGGGGGCCTCTTGGGGCCCCTTTGCGGCCTCTTGGGGGCCTCTTGGGGGCCTGCTGGCGGCCCGAGGGCCCACTGGGAGCGGAGGTGCCGAAATGTCAGTTGAAGTCCCCCCTCTTGGATCCCTCTCGGGGCCCCCTTGGGCCGTCTTGGGCACCTCTTGGACCGCCTTAATGCTTTCGTTGCCCGTCCTGGGGCCCTCTTGGGGGCCCCTTGGGCCGTCTTGGGGCGCAAACTTGGGCCTCTTGGGCCATTTTGGACACTGAAACAATATGCGAACATGCTAAAAAGCAAAGCCGGGGTGCTCTCGAGGCGCATCTTCTTGGAGCCTTCTTAGGACGCCTTCGGGGCCTCGTGGACCGTCTTGAAACAATATTCGGGTGTCGTCGGTCCAGTCAGGCCGCTTATTCGTCAGTCCAGGGGGTCAAAAATGTCGTGGGCATTCCGGGAGGGTGTTCCAGCCAGGGCCCCTGGCCTCCGGTCCCCTGGCATACACACACACACACACGTGTGTATGTATGCATGTATGCATGCATGCATCCATGCATGCAGTCATGCATGCATGCATGCATGCATGCATGTATGCATGTCTGTCTGTCTGTCTGTCTGTCTGTCTGTCTGTCTGTCTGTCTGTATGTATGTATGTATGTATGTATGTATGTATGTATGTGTGTATGCATGTATGTATGTATATATGTATGTATGTATGTGTATATGTTCGTATGTATGTATGTATGTATATATGTATATGTATACGTGTATATATATATGTATATATGTATGCATGTATGCATGTGTGTATGTATGTATGTATGTATGTATGTATGTATGTATGAATGAATGAATGTCTGTGTGTATGTATGTATGTATGAATGTATGTATGTATGTATGTGTGTATGTATGTATGTATGTATGTATATATGTATGTATGTATGCATGCATGCATGTATGTATGTATGTATGTATGTATGTAGGTATGTATGTATATATGTGTGTATGTATGGATGTATGTATGTATGTATGAAGTGGTGTATGTAGTGGTGTATGTATGTATGCATGTATGTATGTATGTATGTGTGTATGTATGTATGTATGTATGTCTGTCTGTCTGTCTGTATGTATGTATGTATGTATGTATGTATGTATGTATGCAAACATGCATGCATGCATGCATGCACGCATGCATGTATGTACGCATGTAGATCTATTTGGATGAATATCGAACATGCGTTTAGTTTAGAAGTGCTCGCAGATCAGGGAGAGGCAGCGATGAACGCAATATAGTGGCTCCAGGTGGTGGCTGTCTAAAGAGATGAGGCGATGGCGGGCCCTTTTCCGACGCCCGGCCCGAGGTTCGCCGCGGTTCGCACGCTGGGCCTGGCAGCGGTGCCGCTGCTGACTGCCTGGCTGTCCTGCCACGCCGAGACGGGGCGGGCGCGCCTCGAGTGGGCCAGCACGTCCCTGTGTGCCGTCGGCGTGCTGGCGTGGTGGACTAGCGCGACGAGCTGGGCCCAGGCGCTCCGGCCAGCCCAGGGGGGAGGACGCGACGAAGGAGATCGAGGCGCTGAGGGCCGAGTTCGCTGGGCTGCGGCTGAGCGCTGGCGCCGACGGCGATGGAGGAGCAGGATCCGACGGCGGCAGGGCGGGGGCGTTCGGTTGGGACGCCCCGAGCGGTGCCCCGCCACCGGGGATCGCTCCCCCGACCTTGCCTGCCGCCGCGGCCGAGGACGGTGCGGGCACAGGCACTGGCTGGCCAGCGCCCGCGGGCGCGCGGGCGGTGACGGACGCGGCCCAGTGGTGCGGCGGAGCTGCGGCGGCTCCAGCGGCGGACGGCGCCGCTGGCGGCGCGCCGGGAGGCAAGGGCGGCGCCGTGCGCACTCCCTTGCAGGACGGCGGGCCGAAAAAAACACGGGCGACGCAGGTCAGGGCGTTGCCGGCGGGCCACGCGGCGGCGGCTCGGAGCGACCCGCAGGGGCTCTCCGTTTTTGAAACGCCGCGGCGGACGTGGACGACAACAGGGTGCTGCAATGAGGGGGGTGTTGGAGGTCATGCGTAGCGTATATCCGAACAAATCTTGTCCATCCGCTTCATCGCGCGGCCGCGGGTAGTAAGCGTCAGCGCGGCACGTTCGAACCGTCTACGCCGCCGGTGCCGCTCCAGCCTTCAAGTTTGGGAACGGGCCAACCAGTACTCTGCAGGGTGAATTCGACGCGCGGAGGGGACTGTCGGGAACTCGCGCGCCGCCCTTTCTATTGGACCTCTAACGTCGACGATTGGGCGGCGATCGAGCGCTCGCATCGCGTGGCCTTACGCGGGGCGCAGCGCCTATGTCAGGTGCGCCGGGATTACGAACCGAGTGGCGTCCAGGCCTTGCCTTGCTTGCAATGGCGGGGCCGGCAGCGGTGGAGGAACACGGCCAGGGCAAGAGATCCGTGCCGCACGTGGACCTGAAGACCCGAGCGGTGGACGAGCCAGCGAGCGAGACGAAGAACATGATGTTCGAGGCCCTCGAGCCCGATGGGGGTTACCTTCTATGCCGAGGAGCGCAACGTCATGGCATGCCGAAGTGAGTGCGAGTGAATGCGCCTTGCAGCAGACGGCGCGTAAGCAGGGAACGGAAAAGGTCCTCGCCAGTAACCTTCAGCAACCTTTCCAAGCCAGTACTGCCAGCTCCCAGTCGCGCACTGCACCGCCCCCGCGGCGGAAACATTCAGCCAAGCGACCGCGGGAAACGGCAACTTCCAGACAGCTTCGTAAGACAAGCTGTCCCCATGTCTCCCTTGGACGTCCTCGCTGTCTCGGGCCAGCTGGCTGGCGAAACTCCAAACTTCCCGTTGCGAT